TGGCGACAGCAAAACTAGAATAAGCGAACCGAACTAGGAGCATGGAACACGAAATACTGCTTGATTTACCCCATAAACGTATTTTTATACGGTTCTTCGCGGATGTTACAATTGAGATGACTTTAATATCACAATCAGACATCTCCGAAGCTATTCGTTTTCACGCCGATCGTAGTGATAATATGTTCTCTGGCTGAGTTGTACCAGCTGCTTTCATTACGTGTCCATCATATGTTAACATTATCTTTGGTCTCGTCACATTACCCTCCCGTATATACTCGCCGTTTTATGCTCAGGCTTGGTTACATTGGGAGTGGTCAGCGCTGATTATGTTTTGATTTTCAAGTCTTCCGCTGTACCACGATATTCTGGAATTTAAATACGGCTTTTTTCGACAGCTTATAGTCACTGTCACGACGGATCATTGATTTTTTTTCAGAGATGGATTATGTAAATTTTGAGTGGGCAAGGTAAGTTTTATGGATGGTTTAAATTTTGTTTTTTAGCTTAAAAGGCCAAGATATATACAATACAAATAATAAAAATAAATATAAATATGAAAATAAATATAATTATAAATAGGGTGTGACTATGTGCATAAGATAAGTGATCTCTAAACTGAAGGTTTGAGATGGAAAAGCAGATTATTTTTTATACTAAAAGAAGATCCTGGGTACTGTACTGCGTACGTGTAATAAGTACCGAAGAGTACAATCTTATTACAAGTAGGGAAGTTTTCGTCAGAAACACTGCATCGCAAATATAAAGAGGTAAAGAAAGATTTAGTGAAATACGGATGAAGGAAATTGTGTACTGCAACAAAGAAATACAAATAAAGTTAAACAGATATAAATTATGGAAAACTGCTAAACAAAAGTGGCTTGCTTTTTGAAAACAAGTTATCTGAAGTGGTAGGAAGGAAAGCACTTTCTTTTGTCCTGTATGTAGTGGAAAAATCTGTTCTTTTAGAAATGCTCTATAATAACAGCTAGGGTAAAAATTTGTAGTTACCTGTTTCACTAAGTTATTCAACTACTTATCTTTTTTTTTTTTTTTTTGTAGTTGAGCATAGGTATGAAAACAAACTGAAATAATTGAATTTCAATCAAAGGGGCACATCTCCGGAGCATAAACGATTGATTTATGGGAAGCCTATAATTTTATGCATTTCTCATGTATTACTTTGATCAGGGCTTCTTTGATATTTTATGTTTGTTTGCGATAGGAGCACTATTCATTGCTGTAAGCACATTATCCATTATTGATAACAGCCTCTTTTCAATAAGTTCACTGCTGATGGTACATATAGGGATTTTTTTCGCTGCAGTTTTCGAGCATTCTAATGTTCGGCCGCCTGAGTACAGTGATTTAAGTTGGATTTGCCAATAGTAACTTTAGCAAAATTAACCATTATAAAAGTCAAGTACGGGGAAGAGAGAAAAGGAAAAGAAAAAGCAAAAAGGTAAAGGGATCAAAGAAATGCATCAAGGGAACGGAACCAAAAAAATAAAAGGAAGCGGCAGAACCAAAGGGCTTGCATGTAAGAAAAAAAAAAAGTAAGCATTTAGCGCTATCACAGAGCAAAATCAGTTGGGGTTTCGCAGATAATGAACTGCTTCTTATTCTTATCTGTAACGAAAAAAAACTTTGAAAATTCTGTGCCTGATGCTACGTTGGATTGTATTGTTTACCTTCTGTGAATTGATTTTTATGTTTATAAAACGTTATCGGAGTTTTATTCAATCGCCAGTTTTGTTTTATTGTCTTTGTTGACCACTGAAATGTCCTATAAATTTTAGGCTTAATCATTCAAGTTTTGATAACACACTTGTTGCCTCAGATTTTCAATTTGACCGAGGACCATTATTTTAAACATGTTTCATAAACTTTGATCTGTGAACCAAAACTAAAGGTAAAATTTTTTAAGGTTTAGCTTTCAAGAACTTTTTGTGTTTCAAAATTTAAATAGTTTTACAAATTGTGCAACAAACTAATTTTTCATCATCAGTCTGCAAAATCTGCGTTATAGAAGAAAAAAAAACACTGAAATTCAAGCTTGGTTTGTACAGTGTTATCAACCCTAAAGTGTAGACATATTTGGCCAGAATTCGATTTTAACTTTACAACTCAACAGGAAATAGTTTTTGCAAGTAAAACAACTTTGATTGTATAATCAAAATGAAACCATTAACGAAAATTTAAGTTTTAAAATTTTTTGATGTCAATTTGAAGGGAAAAAAAAAGGAACAAATCTGAGGTTCGGTATAAAATGATGAAAAAAATGTTGTATTTTAAAAGTTGGGGAGGTTATTCTGGGGAAAAAAAAAGTTATCTTTGCTCTTTTCAGCACTTTTTTAAAATGTATAAAGAAATTTATAAAGTTGCTATTTTGATGGCTTTAGTAAAACTACCGCATCATTTGCTTTCTTTATTGTTTTCCTTACTTGACAAAAATAGCTGCTGTTGTTTCAGTTAGATAAAAAATCGCAAATAAATTTCAATTTTTTATAACACTACTCTTCAGGTTTTTTTTTGGCCATGAATTAAGAAAAGAAGGCTTTACCAAACTGTTATTTGTATAAGGCAAACAACAACCGAAAGAAATCGTGAAATCAAGGACTGTATTATTGTTTGTGCTATTGATACCGAAACATTGGGCAGCATATTGCATACTGCATAATAGTCTCATGGTTTACCATCTTCAGGAAGTTTATGTAAATTTCAATATGATTCATACATACAGTTAATGGAGAAAAATTTTTCTTCATTTTTATCATTTTGTCAGATAGTTTTGTCGATTGGTACCGTAGAAGTAAGTATACTTACAGGTTGTATCACTGTAATATGCTATAAAGCTGTCACTGAAAGAAGCTGCTAAGACTGTGCTATATATTTTATACAACTAAATGTTCATTCTATTAACACTGTTACAGTTGTGATCAATGGACTATTACTGTTTGCTGGGGAAACAGAACAAATATTATTGCTGTTCTGTTTAGTAATCTATAAAATTTATTACTGTTTACACCATTTTTGATGGCAATTTTGTTCGGGTAATACTTGTTTTTTTTTTGGTTATACTACTAATCATAGGCTATAAATTAACACAACTTTTTTGATTACTTTTATAGTTCCACTAAATTTTTGAATTCAATTTTTATAATATTTAATTGTTAAAATAGCTTTTTTTTTTTTTGTTGTTGTTGTTGTTGTTGTTGTCTCGTTTAATCTTAACTTAATCTCAAAAAATTTTTTAATAATATTAATCTTAGTTACTTTAATTTTAAGATTTTTTTTTGGACAAGGCAGTAATCTTTTTTGCTGCTACGGAGAATAAAAAACAAAAAAAAATTCAACTAATTTTTATGGTATGTTAAAAGTCTAAAAGTCTTTTGT